TTCTTCATTTTGTGTATGTTTACTGCATCTTTTTTTAAAGAGAGAATCCTGTCAAAATTGCACTGAGCATTTATACCTACTCAATGTAAAAATGCAAATCATTTCCTTTATTAAGCCCCATACGAGTAAATGCATTATGAACCGTACTGTTATTCTTGCCACATTAAAGCTAATCTTCAAGAAAATTTAGCAGTTCACTCCCATGTGAAAAATGTGAGGAAACTGGGTGAAAATGGTGAGATGCCACCATACTTGCAGTAAAGGGTCATTGTGAAAGCAGATGTTTGTATACGGTAGGGGGTGATTTTTCATGTGACCACTGGTGGGGAGAGTGTTAAAGTTCCCTCTACACCATAGTCCAGATCCAGCTTATTCCCCATGAGCCAGCATGGTGTAGTGGTTAAGAGCGATGGACTCGTAATCTGGTGAACCGGGTTCGCTTCCCGCTTCTCCACATGCAGCTGCTGGGTGACCTTGGGCTAGTCACACTTCTCTGAAGTCTCTCAGCCTCACTCACCTCACAGAGTGTTTGTTGTGGGGGAGGAAGGGAAAGGAGATTGTTAGCCACTTTGAGACTCCTTAAGGGGAGTGAAAGGCGGGAAATCAAGTCCAAACTACTCTTCTTCTTCTTCTTCTTCTTCTTCACTATCCATGCCAGTTATTTGTGAAGGGAAGTTCAGCTACAGAGGACTGAGCTACATGACAAAAACTAACATGCATTGAAGGGGGTTGGACTAAACCCTTGGGGTCCCTTCCAACTCTACAGTTCTATGATTCTATGTTTCATCCTAAGGTGGGAAGTGTTGCAACGCCTGATCTCCAGCTTTGCTTTAGGAAAAACCTGGCGACAACCTAGATGAACCCCGGCTCCGATAAATGAGATGTTAGCATTTGTCAGGCTGTTTGTGCAGGCACTTTGAAGTCGCCCATCAACAGGGAGCAGCACATGGACAGAAAAGTGACTAGGCATACAACCCACTTGGTTGCCGTCTTCTCCACTATGGTGGGATGCATTATATTTCTGTCCCCCCCCCCATTTCTATTTAAATTGTAGAAATTATTTCTATAGCTGCATTTTGAAATATAAATTAGCGTATAAGATGCTCTGCAAATTGATATCTTCTGTGCCTCCATAATACACCTTTAGAGGCCAGGTGAAAACCTTTGTCTTCAACCAAGCCTTTGGCTGATTAACATCCTTTACCCTTTTATATGTGTTTGTGGGATGGGACATGGAGGGAAGGAGGATGGGGGGGTTGTTCTCATTTTTTATTATGTATATTGTGTTTTTATCTTGTATTTTTATGTTGTGAATTGTCCTTAAGATCTACAGATGAAGAGCAGAATAATAATGATGATGATGATGATGGTGATAATAAAACAATTCTGTGCTTGGTCGTCCTGCTCTAGGCCACCCTTCCCCTGAAAGGTCTGGGCCTGATCCAAAATGGATCTAGAGGGGAGAGGGCAGCTTCAGAAGTCTAGCACCGGAAACCTTCCTGTTTCAGAGTTCATGCTGAGCTCTCTGCAAGGGTTTCCTTTCATCCATATAGGAGTTCACCATATAGGTGAATGTCACAATGCACAAGGTCTATAGGACTTATTGCCTGCTCTACCATCCAGCAGGAATCATTTCATGAGCACTCTCATTCCCTTTAGGTTCTGAAGCCCCCCTCACAACTATATAGTAAACGTGTACATGGCTTTGAGTTCCCCACTCACCCAGTAGCTTTAAGGCTTGATAGCAGAGGTGAAAACCAATGCTAAACAAGAAGAGATAGAGATTCATGTCCGCTGCCTCACACGCTAACTGAAAAATGTTCATGGGAGTTAAGTGGGAACAGGGCAGAATCTGAATTGCAATTTATTTCAGTCTCCTAACATGCCACCAGACAGAAGCAAATCATTTTGCATTGTAGTCTATTTTGTTTCATTTGTGGCTATTTTCACTGCCATTTCTAAATATGATTCTCATCTGTTTTAACATTGCCTTCAATGTATTTTGCATATGCTGACTTGCATCAAAATGACAGGGTGGGTTTTTAGTGTCATTTTGACGCTTCAAGTGATACTTTTTGGTACTCAGGAATGATCGTGCAAACTCTGCATACATATAATCTATATGCTTATCTTTTTAGAATTCACAAAAGAGAAGTCTATCTCTTATACAGATTTTTTATATATATATATATATATATATATATATATATATATATAACATTATATGCGTATATGTATGTATATGGGGAAGATGCAACTTCAGGTGTTCCTGGATTAAGCTGATTATCTGGATCTATGTACTTCATGTCTGAGTTTAGGCCTTGTTTTGGGACTGAATCAAGACTGACTGTGTGACCTGAATATCAGAAGCACTGTATTCCGGTGGTTCCATTCCTACATTTGTGATTGAATCCAGAGAAGGACATCAGGTAACACTTGTGTTATGGGGTTTTCCAGGGCACTATTTTGTCCCCAGTGTTATTTAACTTTGATATGAAGGTCTTGGGAGCAGTCACTAGGTCTTTTGGAGCACAGCAGCTGATGACATGCAGCTCTGTTACACCATAACATCTCATTCAGGAGAGGCTGGTTGAGTGCCTTGGGCCTGTGCGTTTATGAAGACCAATAAACTGAACTTGAATCCTTGAAAAATTGAGGCTCTGTGGGGTAAGTGGTTCCCATGTCTGTAAGGTAGGCATTTGCATATTCTGGATGGGGTTGCATTCCCTCTAAAGGAGCAGGTATGTATTTTGGGAGTATTCCTGGATACATCTGTGTCAAATGAGTTCTTTGGCTAAGATATTATTATTATTATTATTATTATTATTATTATTATGCCTTTTGCAGGCTTCATCTGGTATGCCAACTACAGCCATATCGGTATCATGGTAATTTGGCCACAGTCGCCCATGCATTGGTAACCTCAATATTGGATTAATGCAATGCCCTCTATGTGGGGCTGCTCTTGGGACTGGTCCAGAAGCTCCAGGTAGCATAGAATGCAGTGGCTAAATGGTTGATGGGGACAGAAGGCTGACAGCACACAACACCTTTGCTAAAACATCTGCACTGGCTGCCCATTTCCTACCAGGCCTGGTTTAAGGTTCTTGTGTTGATATTCAAAGCCCTGAACAACTTGGGTCCAGGATACCTTAAGGCAGGCATCCCTAAACTCGGCTCTCCAGATGTTTTGGGACTACAACTCCCATCATCCCTAGCTAACAGGACTAGTTGTCAGGGATGATGGGAATTGTAGTCCCAAAACATCTGGAGGCCTGAGTTTGGCAATGCCTGCCTTATGGACTGCCTGGGCCCTTATATCCCAGTCCAATAACTGAAATCATCTGGAGGAATGCTGTTAATTGCCCTCCATGTTACAGGGGCCCAATTCACCCCAAAGAGGTTAGGAATTTAGTGTCACCTGTTCCATGCAGTGGAACATTCACCTGCAGGTATCCACCCCCTCTTTGACTTTAAGGCATTTTGTGTAGAGTTTTTTAGATGTATTCTGAAAGAAGTCATTGATGCAATAATAGTGCATTAGTGATGGATTTATACCAGACCATCCACACACCACCCCACTTTCTTAGTTGTTCTGTGATGCTTCTGCATTTTTACTGTGTTATTGCCAACTGGAGGGGTACACTTGTGCTATAGTTAATCAAAAGCAGGACATATATCCCCTCTCCCTAAGATTTGAAGTATGAAACACTGCAGGATTTCAGCAGGATGTTACACAACATGCACCAATTGGGAACAAAGCAATATGACTGCTGCATATATTTTGCAGGTGCAAAATGTATTGAAAGAGGGAGAGTGTATGACTGCCTTGATATCACCATGAGAAAAAGTAGTCATGGTTGTGAAATGAAAAGGATGTCTGGAGGGTCTCAAGGTGTCTAAGGGACTGATGATTTACCTTCCTCTTAACTGCCATGCAACCATTCAGTAAATTAGAGAACCTAAAAGTATTTTGACTATCCATTCAGAAATGTCCAATGTAAGTTAATGTACAGTGTTTACCATAAAATAAGTTGTACTTCCAGAGTCTCCCTCCCTTTTATAATGGCAACAAATACTTGCAAAAAACAAACAATATGCACAAGGACATTGCTATTTAGAAAGCATAACAGAAGGCTAAACATTCTGGCTAAAAAATATACACACATTATTTCTTTGGCACTGTGAAAAAGACAAAAGATGCATTCAATGCTTTAACACACCTTTAAACAAATTCTATTTTCTTCCTTTACATCTCCAAAAACTGAATAGGAATGGCTGTATAGACTCTTTTCCAGAATGCATTGCCCATACCCTGTTCATCTGCAGTGTATTTCTTACCATTAAAAGAATAGTCCCTTGCCTCAATTTCACTGCCACTGTAATATTAATATCAGTATTTAATCTCCATGGTATAGAATCTACAACTTCTGGGTCTTGTCTTTGAGACTTGAACACCTAGCGCCCACAACTCTTCTACGTATGCATTTATTAAAGAGCAGAAAACTCTTGCTGCTTTCTCCCTAAATGCTCAATATTTATTTGGAGCTCTTTAAGTAGCATCATCAAGTAAATAAATAAATAAAAGTGGTCGACTTTATTTGGGTATAAAACTGTGCAATTCACTGTTGGGCTGTAGAGCTGCTCCAGTATATATTTCTCATTTATTAGCTTCATTCCTTTGCCAGCTTTCCTACGGCAACGTTATATTTCCCATGGGGATCGTGCTAGGGCTTCTTCCTAGCATTCTGGGCTGTTGTTTGTCTGTCTGCTCATTTATTTGTTTGTTTATTTAGTAGGCCCGTGTCCTATTTGATCATGAATTTATTTAATGCTTTCACTCTAGCCATTTGATCCGAATAAACTGGCAACGTACTCCCTGTTTATAACTAGGTTATCTCCGCTTTCAAGGGTGTATTTACACCAGGTCTCCATTTATAATACCAAAGAGATCCATAACCAAAGTGATTTAATAGATGACTTGTGTTCTTTCCCTCTAGATCAACTCTCCTTTGTTCCTCAACAAGTGCGAAGCTGAAACTAAAGGGGGAAATATCTGCTTGTAACCTAACCATGAAAGCTTTTTTCTTCTCCGGAGAAATCCCCCCCAAGGAACAACCAGCAAGCCAACCTTCCAGTGCCAGGATGCTCATCTTACGAGCAGGCCTTCCTGGAGTACTTCTTTCTCTCTATGGCAGCAGTAGGAAAGGGACAGCTGCATTTTTGCACATAAACACAGATGCATCTTTAGTGCTGTCCTGGGATACTGAGGAACAGTGCGAGCGTATTCGTGTCCTAAAGGGCTATATTTCAAGGAGCACAACATCAAAGAACATTCAGCCAAGTGTGGTTGGGGATGGCTCCAGTTTGCTTGTGGATATAAACATCTCCATTCCATTTATAGAAAAACACCCTGCTAAAGAAATACTGACAGATGCAAGCACCCATCTCCCTGATCACCAAAGGTGAATGGGTTTTTAATGCATAAATATACTTGGAACTTCAGTTTTAATTTGTTGACATTGTCTTGGTTGCTGGTAAAATGCTGAAAACGTAACTTGGCGTACACTGTTTTTGTACCGTGTCCCAAACATGGGGAAGGGCTGTAGCTTAGAGAGATGCTCCCCAAATCCTGAAGTCAGCACCGATTGGCTGAGGATTTGGAAGAAGCCATACTACATTCTGGCAGTTCTAAGCAAATGCACCAAAAAGGCTCTCACTTCTAAAGACATAGGATACCACAGTAATGACATTTTAAAACTAGCTTTTTTTGTTTTATCGTGTTTTACTGGATTAGTAAAAATAGTAAACACCTAACAGTGGCATTCTACTGTAACCAAAGAACCACCTTCATTTTAACAATTCTGTTGTCACACATACAGTTAAGCATATGCACCCATTACTAATTCAAGACTGGCTGTGAGGCTGGCCAGCCAGAGGCAAGGTGACTTTGAGTTGGATGGTGGAAAGATAGATTAAAATACTTCCATTACATTATCAGCATTTCAGTGAGGAAACCTGAATAATACTGTATCCTATCAGAATGACTAGTGTGAAACCTAGTATGTACTCTCCTAAGAAATCACACATCTGGCCCAAGCGGCAGAATCTGTGTTCAATCACAAGCCCGCCTGATATGATTCAGACTGAGTTTTGTCTGATCCTTATAAGGTTTAAAGACTCACAGGAGGACAGATTTAATAGAGCGGCCTTTACTAAAGCTGTGAAAAAGCCTGGCTACGCTATTACATTTCACAGAGTGCAACTGTGTCAGCAGCATTGTTATGGGACTCCACATTCCGTTTGTGGGTGTACTTAGTGTCATCATCTATTTTGTAGGGACTAGTTCTGCACTTCAGAACAACCGTTATATGCTTGCATTAAATGCACTTACATGCATCTTAAGAGATGAACATAACTCCAAAAAACATGCCCATCTCCTTTAAAAGTAGCAGGCATTTGAGTCATAAAAGAAGCAGCGTTAGAAAATTATAGCTGAGGCAGGGAAAGCATGAGGTGAGGCCCCAAATGGACTGCGAACCCCTCCTCAAGGACCGACGTATAGAATCATAGAGCTGGGAGGGACCTCAAAGGTCATCTTCTCCAACCCCTGCTGATTCAGAAAATGTACTGCAACAGTATCTCTGGCAGGTGGCCACCCAGCTCCTGTTGAAAAACATCCAAGGAAGCAGAATACACAGTCTGCTTGCATTGTTGAAGAACCTTGTGTTGTCAGGCAGTTCCCCCTAATGTTTAGCCACAATTATTTTTCATGGAATGCGAACTTGTTGGTTTAGGACCTGCCTTCTTTATGTCTAGGGGTTATTCTGAATCATGTGTTCAGTGGACCATCAAAGTTCCTTTTCATTGCTTGGAAGAAGCATCCTTCCTGGGCCCTCATTTCCAATGCAATTTAAGGTTCCCTATTCACAATTACTAACATCATTTCTTTCTACGTGCTATGAAAATGAAAGCTTTTCATCTGTCTGGGGGAAAAAAACAATCTAGCAAAGACTTACACTTTAAACCACTGCCACCACCAATATATTTAAATAAGGGAGCTCCAGCACTACATTAAAATATAATGTCTGACATTATGCATTTTAAAATAATATTGAAAATTATATATGCAAAATTTAAAAATAAAAAGCATGTTTTAGGTATGAGCAGGTTTTGTAATGATAGCTAATGAACTTTAAACAATACAATTGCATCTTTATTACATGAGAAAGTTTTCCACCATCAGAACAGCTTCCAAATGAACTCAGGTTCATCCAGTAACATTGTGGGTGAATGCTATTTCCCTGTGCAGCCAGGGGCACTCACTAATTATAAAAGTGCCCTTCAGCTATTGACAGCCCTTGGACTCCCTTGTGAGAGAGTGACCAGGCATTCCTGAAGAGATAAGATGCACAGTATTTACTTAATTCCTTGACACAGTTTGCAACTCAGACCTTCGATGGGGCATGCTAGATAATGGAGTCTGCCCAGTGGGAAAAGCTGCTGGGAGCATTGCGTACCATGCTGCCTTTTTGTTTTCCAGCATATCGGAAGGCAGCAGGGCTACACCCCAGAAACAACATTCATAAAGGGTATTTCCTTACAGAGGGTTTTCCACTATTTCTCTTTAACATTTCCCTTGGAGTTCAGATGGTGGAGCTGATCAAAACCATTAGGGTCTTCCTTCACTTTAATAGAGTAGCCTAAGAACAGATTAGCTAGATGAGAAGGTAGAGAGATACCAAGTGACATGGCCTGGTAATTAGGCAATCTTGATTGTTTTCCGGCTATCTCAATGAATCTTTCAGTTGCTTATTGGGTGGAAATGATTTTCTTTTTGAAATCCACCTACAGGACAATTTAGTTCCTGCCAGACTGCCTTTCTGCCTATGTTATAAAGTGTCCTCAAGTGGCATAGTCAGCACAGGTAGAAATATTAATATTATTAGTAGTAGCAGTCAGGGCTTTTTTCAGCCAGAACTCAGCCAAATTCAGTTTTGGCATCTCTCAGGTGGGCTCCATTGCCATTATAAGAGAACAAAGTAGGCGTTCATGGTGAGTTCCAGTACCTCTTTTTCTAGAAAAATAGCACTGATAACAGTAATAACAAAAACAATGACAAAGATTGTTTTTGAATACCCTAAGTCATAGTTACATTGCTTTATGTTGTATGAATATCAATATGTACACTGATATATTGGTATGAATAAGGGTTCTGAAATAATGCTTCACAACTAAAACTTGTGGTAGTTCTGGTGGAATGTAATTCTACATATTACACAGAACACGGGGACCACCATTTTCAAATTCAGCTTCATGTTCTTGACAGTTATGACTTTTGAGGAGGCACATATATTACAGCAGGGATGGGGAGCCTGTAGTTCTTTGGATATTTTTGGCCTCTGGTGACCATTAGCATGGTCAGTGGTCAGAAATGATGATAATTGCAGTTCAACAACATCTGAAGGGCCACAGGTGTCCCATCCCTGTGCTAATATGAGGAGTCTGACACTTCCCCCAAGAGTGTGTCAAAGGGCAATTCAATTACTAGAGGGGTGGAGTGAGTCAGCTTCAGGAAATCCTGCTAAACTTTATATAGCCCTTTAATCCCTCCTCCTTAAAAGGATGGAGACAAAGGATGTTATGAAAACTGCTGGGTTCTTGGAGTCCAGGATGTGCCTCCAGTATCCTCCTGTGTTGCTGACCTGCATTTTCAGTTATTCCTTTTCTCAGAGCACTACTTCCTTAAATTCTCTGTTTCTGTTTGCTGGGGCTGCTGCCTTCGTTAGAGAGAATTTCAGCTTTGATTAATTATTGAGCCCCTACTGCTGAGGCTTTTTCCATTTTCCAGTTCTCATTACGGATGCCTTGCAGCCTGTGTGCTTCGCTGGTCCCATTGCAGAATTTGATGGATGCACCCGTGAAGTTTTGCTGCCTGCACAACCACCCTTGCCTTTCACCGGATTTGTTTGGAGGGCAAGGGAATTCTGCTCTTAGCTACGGTGAGCAATGAAACACAGTCAACAATGATATTATTATCACCATCATTATTATTGTGGTTCTGCAAGTAACTTTAAAATCACATTCCCAGGCTGTGCACCATTTTTAAAAAAGAACTATGTTTGCTTGCAGAGGAATCAATTGTCTTGTTCATTTTTGCTTCTGAGTGCATATAGAAGATTCAGACTTACTGTACTCCTTTTGTCATTCCCTCTCCTTATTAACAGCTAACATCTACAAACAGTGTATTCTGGTCATTTTCCATGGAAGTATCACTTTATTTAATTAGATCATCCACTACTTCACTTTCTTCTGTTTTGTTACACCAAAGGGTTGTCTGTGTTTGTGACTAATAATAATAATAATTTTATTATTTATACCCCACCCATCTGGCTGGGTTTCCCAAGCCACTCTGGGCGGCTAACAGAATTTATAAAAACATAATAAAAACATCAAGCGTTAAAAACTTCCCAATACATGGCTGCCTTCAGATGTCTTCTAAAAGCTGTGTAATTCTTTATCTCCTTCACATCTGAAGGGAGGGCGTTCCACAGAGAGGGCGCCATTACCGAGAAGGCCCTCTGCCTGGTTCCCTGTAACTTTGCTTCTCGCAGTGAGGGAACTAGCAGAAGACCCTCAGAGGACCTCAGTGTCTGGGCTGAGCGATGGGGGTAGAGATGCTCCTTCAGGTATTCTGAGCCGAGGCCATTTAGGGCTAGGGACTGTTCCAAAAAGGCAAACTCGGAGACCACTGGAATGCAGCACAGAAATACAAACATGTTATCAGATCATATTTCCCACCCATTAAACAACAGTAAAGGAGAAGCATATGGAGGGGCAGGAAGCAGGAATCCAGCAATGTTCCTAACTTGGAAACGACTGTGGTGAATTGCCGAGAAAAGATGTGCAAACAACCACCCTCCATAACCCAGTCCTTTCAGTCTAGTGACTGCCCAGCATTCTAGTCCCTTTGCAATGCCTTTGCATTATTCTGCCTGTCTCCTACCTCCCAGGTCAATTTGGAAAGAGACATCTGTCCAGGGCTTGTCCCCTGAGCTGAAGATGTGCTAGGAGTTGGCCTTTTCCATCTGGCCAGGTGGCTCCTCTGTGGCAGGACTTCTCCCTCTCGCCCCACTTCCATTCATCAGCGTCAAGTCCAAGCCAAGTTGGCAGGCTCTCCTTCTTTCAAAGGCAATCGAGTGCCAGCTCCTCCGCAGACCTCTAGAAACTGACTTCCCTGCATGCCTTCTATCCTTGGGCACTTGGCACTAAGAACTGCAGACAATTAAGTCAGCTTGCAACTCTCCAACTGTCTTCTGCTAAAAAAATCAGCAACCCTGAGGCACTGCCAAAAAAGGTTCATAGGGTCAGGGCAGCTCCCCTGCCATTTTCATTCCCAAATGATAGGATAGTAAACAGAGAATTCTCTCATTCTTTCACTCTTAGCTCAAGGCAATGTCCTACCTTTCCCCAGGACTCAACAAGAACCAACTGAAAGTTATCAGCTCATTGGTAAATTGCTAGTAACAGAGATACTTAAGACAAGAGGCAGGTCCACGCACAGGCAGGATTCCAAGTTAAATCAGCAACATTTCTTGTTTTCAAGTTTGCTCTCAACAATCTGTACCAAACATGTGTGAATTGGAGGCTGGTAGTGTTAATCTTAAAGCACTGCTTTCCGTTCACTCGCTTCATACTGAGCTAATTCTGGGGTCACTTGCCCTACCTTCCCCCTATTAGTTAAGTCCTTTCTCATGCTTCAGCAAGCAGGCACACATGACTGTTTAAAGTGATGTGAAAAGGGTGTGAATGTGGCCCTAATCCAGAAGAGGCAGAACAGCACAGATTTATCTTATGCTGCATCTGAATTTTTTTGGATACTTTGTACTAAGTGGCAATTTTAGGGCAGCAGGACCTTTGCTGGTTTCAGGGTTCTGTCAAATGCCCAACATTGCCATCTTCTAGAGCTATCCTGATCTCAGAGTAATTAGGTGGCTTTGCATTCAAGTAGAGCAAAGAAGTGGGATTCTAATGACTCTTGATTTTGCTCTCTGTATATCATTTTGCCTGTCCACCATCAGCATTCACTGTTTCTGTCCTTGCCATCTTCAGTTGCATTGCAGAGACAAGGAAGGTTATTGTCCAGTATGTTTACTCTTTGTATTATATATTCTGAGGATGCACAGAGCCTCAGATCAGACGTGATATCTAGAGAGCCTCAGATCAGACGTGATGTCTTTGAAATCTGGAGCACTAAATGTTTGTCAGATAGTAAAGTGAAACTAGAGAACATATGAAGTGGGAGATATGCTTGTGAATGAAATGGGAGGCAATAGGAGGATTTTCCAGCTCACCATGAACTCCACCAATTCTCTACACATTAAAATGTGCATATATAAACACCCACTCTCTTCTATTTTCAGTGTATAGCCCTCCTTATACTGATAGCACAGGAAATGATATACTAAAATATTGTTTAAAATTGTACTAAAGTTCGGTCTTCTACTAGTTTAACCTTCCCCCACCTTCTGCAAACTTTCATGTTCTTCTAGGGGGAAGGATGGGTAAGAAAAATCTCTGACATTTCATCAGAAAAATGTGGGTTCACTATTAGCAAAAATTGGGAGTTATGAGGATGTGGGTTCACATGCATTTCCCTCCATTATTCAGCACTGTTTCAAAGTAAACATGTACAGTCTTGTTCTGCTAAGCTACAATAACTCTAAGATAATGACTAGGTGTAAAGTCCCTGGCAACAAAATTGCCTCTTGCATCCATGGGTTTGATTTACAGAAAGACAAATTTTGGCATATAAATGGTATATAAATTAATAATATTCAAGTTTGGGGTTCTTTCCATTTCTTATTTTTCCAGTGTTATGTTTGCTTCACCCCATTTGTCCATATTTGCCTTTTTAAAAACAACAACAACAAAAAGATCTGCATTCAATTATTATTATTTTTTAAATTGTACTAAAGTTCAATCTTCTACTAGTTTAACCTCCCCCCACCTTCTGACATAGGTGCAGACTCCCTGGGTGCCCGAGCACCCACAGAATTCCCCATGGAGGGGCTGGGCACCCACAAACTTCAGCCCCGGGGCCATACACACTGCAGGGCACCCACGACCGTGGGCACTCATGGTCATGGGGCCAAGCCGACACTCCTGCCTTCTGAAATTCCTTCCCAATACAGTATAACAAACTGCTACTAGGGACTGGAATCAGAAATCACTGCTGATCTACTTCACATCACCCAGAGTAAATGTACCTGTAGATCCCAATGCACTTTCTGACCATCCTGCCCTAAGATAAGTAAAAGTCTCCCGTCTGTTCTTCTTCTGCCCAATCTGTAACAAGGGAACAATAATGGTTTAAAAACACAGACAGCAGCCCTGAGATAATGGGAGGGCTTCTATGCTCCTTCTCCAGGGCTGCCTCTACCATGAGGTGGAGTGAGGCAGCCACCTCAGGAGGCAGATGCTGTGGAGACAAGGATCAGTGACAAGATTTCAGAGGACAGAGCTGATTGAGCTGTGTGACTTGCCCTGAACCCCCTATGACAGCCTGCTGATATCAGCCTGCCGCCACCACAGTGTTGATGCAATTGCCAGCTCACTCCACTTCTGTTTGTGGAAAGGGAGGACACGATTTCATCCTTTGCTTCAGGCAGCAAAATGTCTTGGTCCAGACTTGTCCCTTTCTATTCTCCTCTACCAGTGCAGCCACAAGAAAATTGGAAGCATACATCTCCATTATTAAACTAACAACTATTTGCCATTTCATCAAAAAGAGGATAAACCAGTTAGTTTAAACCAGGGGTAGGTAACCTAAGGCCAAGGGGCTGGATCTCCTTCTCAATCTGGCCCATGGGCTGTATGGGAATCAGCATTTTTTTACATGAGTAGAATGTCTCATTTTATTTAGAATGCATCTCTGGGTTATTTGTGGGGCCTGCCTGGTGTTTTTACATGAGAAGAATGTGTGCTTTTATTTAAAATGCATCTCTGGGTTATTTGTGGGGCATAGGAATTTGTTCATTTCCCCCCAAAAAATATAGTCTGGCCCCCCACATGGTCTGAGGTACGGTGGACCAACCCACATCTGAAAAAGGTTGCTGACCCCTGGTTTAAACTATGGTTTGTTCAAAAGAACCATGGTCAAACAACAGTTTTTGATCCTGGCTTGTTCAGATAAGTCATATTTAAAACAAACCACAGTTCCCAGTTTGTATGTAATGATAAACTGCATAGTTTAAAGTGGAGCCAGATGTCTCTGCTCTCTCCATGCCAGAGGAGGAGAGGAGAGGCATAGGCATAGGGGCCTGAGTAACTTTGTGTGTAACTTTAAACTATGGTCTGAATCAAGACAATGTCTTTGAATTTCTCTGAACACATAGAAAAAGGATGGTTGACATTTTAGAAAAACCCTGAAAACCAGATATTTAAATATAGAGACAAAGAATTTGTGGCACCTTAAAGTCCAACTGCTCAGTGGGAGAGAACAGGTAGCCCATTGCCTGCTGCTCTCTGTGATCCTTTATTATACAATTCCTTCCAGCTGACAGAAGCTGCATTTGCCATTAGGTCCACATTTCAACCAATGTTAGCCATAACGCTGTGTGCAGTATAGTTACACCTGTTTCATTCACTGCGGTGTAATCCAGTGTGCACATGGACACACACGGCAATTTGGCACATATGTAAAAGTCATCCCAATGACAAAGGGGCTTTTTGGCATGTGCGCACGTACACACATACACACAGAGCCCTTTCTCTTTGTGAAGCAAAGTCTCCCTCAATTTCTTACTGAAAATGAAATGGGGACAGTACTGCTTATACAGCTAGAGATAGCAATCAGCAGTGTGCAGACACTGACTTATCAAGCAGATTCTTAATGCCATAAAATCAATGGGTTTAGAAATTCTATTATCCCGTCTCTGATAGAACATGCCAAACTAAAGAAACTCCTCACCCTTATTATTTTTAAGTGTACTTAAGGATAACATTCCTTATTGCCCTGTCTTTTCTTATGCTCCTTTAGAGGACATAAAAAATATGGACCCCAGGGGTTATGTACAGCTGGGGGGGGGGCAGAAAGGCACCAATTAAAGACCTGTGATTAGTTTGATTTGAGGTGTGTTCATCCCAGGGTCTGTGGCACTGGCTCATTTAAGAAAGGGGAATGGAAGACGTCTGGAACATTTGCATAATAAGCCGAAGGATCACAGGAGAAGCACTTCTGCCTTTTTTGCAGGTAAAGTTGTCAAACTGGGAAAAGAGAGGGAGAGGAAACCTCATCTGCTCTTTGCCCTTTAACAGCAGCTTGATCTGCAGAAATAAGCAGATGAGGCTTTTCATTACACGCAGGTGAGCACCACCACCTTCTAATGTCTACAAATGCATTAAAGACACGGGAAAAGGGGCTGGCAGAAGAATGGGTCAGAAGGGCAAGAGACTCTCATGGTTCACCATCTCTCTCTTTAAGCTAAGGTAAAACATGCATGGTGGGAGAGGGAGTGGGAACATGACTGACAGTAGTATCAATCCCATGCATCTCCAGGTAGGTACTAGGAAAGACCCCTGTTGAAATTCTGGAGAGCCACTGATTGTCAGGGTTGGCATTATTGAGCTAGATGGACCGATGCTTTGACAGAAGAAGGCAGCTTCCTATTCTGGTATGATCTTGAAATGCGGGCAGTATCTTGGTCGGAGAATGACACTTGATAGGAGAGTAGTTGTGAGAATAAAAGACTGTGAAGGAATAAAGTAAGAGAGGAGATAGAGGGAGACAATGAAAGCATAGGCAGAAGAGTTTGAGCAGAGGGGTTAGTTTGGTTACACCAGGATATTATAAATCTGAGTGTTCTGTAGACAATGATTTCTAATTAAATCATTGTTTAAATGTATGTTAATGTTAAGATACGAATCCAAGGCAGACCTTTTAACATCACAGTAATCCAAGTTTATGCACCAACTACTGGTGCTGAAGAAACTGAAATTGACCAATTCTATGAAGACTTACAAGACCTTATAGAAGTGACACCAAAGAAGGATGTTCTTCTCATTATAGGGGATTGGAATGCTAAAGTAGGGAATCAAGAGATAAAAGGAACAACTGGCAAGTTTGGCCTTGGAGATCAAAACGAAGCAGGGCAAAGGCTAATAGAGTTCTGTCAAGAGAACAAGCTGTTCATCACAAACACGCTTTTCCAACAACACAAGAGACGACTCTACACATGGACATCACCAGATGGGCAGCATCGAAATCAGATTGATTATATTCTCTGCAGCCAAAGATGGAGAAGCTCTATACAGTCAGCAAAAACAAGACCAGGAGCTGACTGTGGCTCAGATCATCAGCTTCTTATAGCAAAATTCAAGCTTAAACTGAAGAAAGTAGGAAAAACCACTGGGTCGGTAAGATACAACCTAAACCAAATCCCTTATGAATACACAGTGGAAGTGAGGAACAGGTTTAAGGATTTAGATCTGGTGGACAGAGTGCCTGAAGAACTATGGATGGAGGCTCGCAACATTATACAGGAGGCAGCAACGAAAACCATCCCAATGAAAAGGAAATGCAAGAAAGCAAAGTGGCTGTCCAACGAGGCCTTACAAATAGCGGGGGAGAGAAGGCAAGCAAAATGCAAGGGAGATAGTGAAAGATACAGGAAATTGAATGCAGATTTCCAAAAAATAGCAAGGAGAGACAAGAAGGCCTTCCTAAATGAGCAGTGCAAAGAAATAGAGGAAAACAACAGAATGGGAAGAACCAGAGATCTGTTCAAGAAAATTGGAGATATGAAAGGAACATTTCGTACAAAGATTACCATAATAAAGGACAAAAGTGGTAAGGACCTAACAGAAGCAGAAGACATCAAGAAGAGGTGGCAAGAATACACAGAGGAATTATACCAGAAAGATATGGATGTCTCATACACCCCAGGTAGTGTGGCTGCTGACCTTGAGCCAGACATCCTGGAGAGTGAAGTCAAATGGGCCCTAGAAAGCAATGCAAATAACAAGGTCAGTGGAAGTGATGGTATTCCAGCTGAACTATTTAAAATTTTAAAAGATGATGCTGTTGAGGTGCTACACTCAATATGCCAGCAAGTTTGGAAAACTCAGCAGTGGCCAGAGGATTGGAGAAGATCAGTCTACATCCCAATCCCAAAGAAAGGCAGTGCCAAAGAATGCTCCAACTACCGCACAATTGCACTCATTTCACACGCTAGCAAGGTTATGCTTAAAATTCTACAAGGAAGGCTCAATCAGTATGTGGACCAAGAACTCCCAGAAGTGCAAGCTGGATTTAGAAGAGGCAGAGGAACCAGAGACCAAATTGCAAACATGCGCTGGATTATGGAGAAAGCTAGAGAGTTCCAGAAAGACATCTACTTCTGCTTCATTGACTATGCAAAAGCCTTTGACTGTGTCGACCACAGCAAACTATGGCAAGTTCTTAAGGAAATGGGAGTGCCTGATCACCTCATCTGTCTGCTGAGAAATCTCTATGTGGGACAAGAAGCTACAGTTAGAACTGGATATGGAACAACTGATTGGTTCAAAATTGGGAAAGATGTATGACAAGGCTGTATATTGTCTCCAAGCTTATTTAACTTATATGCAGAATTCATCATGCGAAAGGCTGGGCTGGATGAATCCCTAGCCGGAATTAAGATTGCCGGAAGAAATATCAACAACCTCAGATATGCAGATGACACAACCTTGATGGCAGAAAGTGAGGAGGAATTAAATAACCTTTTATTGAGGGTGAAAGAGGAGAGCGCAAAATATGGTCTGCAGCTCAACATCAAAAAACGAAGATCATGGCCACTGGTCCCATCACCTCCTGGCAAATAGAAGGGGAAGAAATGGAGGCAGTGAGAGATTTTACCTTCTTAGGCTCCATGATCACTGCAGATGGTGACAGGAGTCACGAAATTAAAAGACTTCTCCTTGGGAGAAAGGCGATGGCAAACCTAGACAGCATCCTAAAAAGCAGAGACATCACCTTACCAACAAAGGTCCGTATAGTTAAAGCCATGGTTTTCCCAGTAGTGATGTATGGAAGTGAAAGCTGGACCATAAAGAAGGTTGATCGCCGAAGAATTGATGCTTTTGAATTATGGTGCTGGAGGAGACTCTTGAGAGTCCCATGGACTGCAAGAAGATCAAACCTCTCCATTCTTAAGGAAATCAGCCCTGAGTGCTCACTGGAAGGACAGATCCTGAAGCTGAGGCTCCAATACTTTGGCCACCTCATGAGAAGAGAAGACTCCCTGGAAAAGACCCTGATGCTGGGAAAGATGGAGGGCACAAGGAGAAAGGGACGACAGAGGACAAGATGGTTGGATAGTGTTCTCGAAGCTACCAGCATGAGTTTGTCTAAACTGCAGGAGGCAGTGGAAGACAGAAGTGCCTGGCGTGCTCTGGTCCATGGGGTCACAAAGAGTCGGACATGACTAAACGACTAAACAACAACAACAATGTTAAGTATCTATATTATGGTCTGGGTGGATTCTATGATTAATATACCGGTACTTCATTCCATGTGTCTTGTGTAGATGTACTTGACTAGGAATATAAAATGAATGCAGTTATGCTTTCTCTATGTCAGGTGGTGTTAGGGAACACCAGGAATATTATAACTTGGTTATGCTCCCCAGAGAAAGGAGGCAAAACAAAGTGTATTGATTGTAGGCCCATTGAGATCAGTGTTCCTAACTTAATCAAGTCTAATGTCAGTGGATCTACTCTGAGTAGGCTAAATATTTGATCCAACCGTATATAAGGAATTCAGCAATGGAAGTAGCTGCCTAAGATTCCTTTAAGGTTTTTCATGAATAGCTGGGCACTTGTTAGGAAGTGTGTCCTGAGACTGAGCATGGGAATAGATGATAGGATGGGACATGAGAGCCTTTAAAGCCTAATTATTTTTGTATTGGGGCATGCCAAGTCTATCTATATCTTATCAAGAGAGGTGTGTGAAAATCATCTGTGATTATGCTATAACTATTGTTATACGTTTCCTGATTTTGTATAAACCACATGGAGTGCCTTTTTAGATGGAAAGGTAACATGTACATACTGCAAAATAAGGAAGTGTGCAGATTGGAGTAATGGGACCTTTTCACCTCCCAAATGGGGGAAAGCCCCACCATGAAATGAGCAAGGCTATGGGGAACTCAGCTAAAAGAAACAGATAGTTGCATACCAAACACACTACTACCTGTTAGTGCTGCTAGCCAAACTCTTCTGACTCAGTTGTCCTTGCAGAATAAGAACCAGGAAAAATGGAACTGAACAAACATTTGAGACTGGTTTCCAAAACAACTGGCTGTGTTTTCTTGATTATAACATCTTTCCTGCCCAGTAGGTGAAACTCTCAAATATAGGCACCAGAGGGATCACAAAGTGAATTCATACTTGATGGCAAAGTGGTTATGTGACACAGAGAGACAACATTTCTCAGATGTTCATGTAACGAGCACCCAGATAACTACTTTCTGTAGCAGCTGCTGCCCATTGTGCGTCACTATTCCCATGGTTTTCTTATCTCTTTACAGGCAACCAGGAAGCTTTCCAACACTTCCAAAGACAAGTTTGCTCCCCATCCAGGGCCATACAGATGACTATTGAGGTTGACAGTTGGCTGCTGAAGCTGCTGGCAGAAGACCAGCTGTTTCTCTCTTGGGTTTGCCAGATTAGTCATCCCAAGTTTCTTGGGTTTTTCAAAGAGCTCATCCATGTCCCAGATGCCAGGAGTCATGGGAAATATAGTTTCTAAGGTGTCTGACAACTAAGCACTCAGGAGACATGAGAAATGTGTTTGAAACCCGAAGGTGAATGAAGGCCTTATCCCAGAGAAGCTTTCCACCAGATCTCTCTGTTGTTGCTAAGATTTGAGGGAAGAGAATGTCTGATCAGGCAGGGTTTAGTCATGGAGCACAATGTGGCTCAAATTTCAAAATGTACTGAGTGGAGGAGGAGGATTGCATTAATTCCAAACCAAGGGTAGCTCACCCATCACCAATTCCATGTTAGTTATGAAGGGGATATGTGTGCATTATTTTCTCTGTAATAGATAGGTTTTTAAATGCATCTAAGCAGTAACCAAGAAATGGCTTGGCTCCAATTTCTCTGGATTTTCAAAGGAAAAACAGTGACTAATGTCCACAGGTGCCTTCACAACTGACAAACACATGTGTCATACAGGTATGCTTGTCAGAAATCCATAATTGGCTGGAACACATAGCCCCTTTATGGCCTCTGTGCTAGCTGGTCCTTGATGTTTAGTGTAAATATGAATCGGGCCACCAAGGACATCATCATGACAGGTTCAAGCAAGATAAGGTAGTTTGAGGTATTTGGAACACAGTCCTAGAACTCAACAAGCACTAACTCTGTTTTTTTGGCTCTGCTGATAATTCCCCCGCACGATTGCATGTGTCACTCTTGAGTCACTTCAGCCTTCTCCATATGCATGGTGAGGATTAGCAACACTCCCTTCTCCCCTTTGCAAATTGAGAGGTTCATATGAGAAGTATTACTGTCATATGGAGAACAGATGGACTGCAGTGAGCAGATGGTTTGTGGTGGACCATGCCAATGCAATCCTACGGTATGTAATTTCTTCTTCTCAACAAGAACAATTTGATAATGGAAAGGGTCCAAAGAGGGGAATTGTTTTGACCTGATTAGCCTATCACAGTGGCACACCAGGCTATAAATTGTTCTCAGGCTGTAAGTGGTAATGAATTAGGCTGGAGCACCTGATACTTTTTTGCTAGCAAAGTTGACATGAGGATTTGCCGACTGCGCCATTTCACTTACAGCAATCAACCAAGGAAATAGCCAGAAAGGAGAATGATCAAGATGTATATGCTATGGCTTCCCAATCAATACGTTTGGAGACAGTTTATCACTAGCACTGTTTGTGTATACTTAAGAGGTGATACATCAGGCTGTCAGTCTGTTAAAGATGCTTGGTGATCACAGGGCTTTAATACCGTGATATGCAAATAAGTAACGTTTGGGAGAGACAGACGTTCATAGCCAGAAGTCTATGGCCTAAAATGTGATCATTCAAGGGAGCCAGAAAAGAATAAAGGAAAAAAAAATTCATGAGGTCGTAAGTGTGGGATGCAGCAAAGGAAGTGATCTGAAGAATTGGGTTTGTTTGTTTTCCTCCAAGAAAAAGGAAAAGAAATGCTACTGAGATTTAAGCTTAGCTATAAAGGGGGGAAGAATACTATTATTTTAATAGGTTGTATGTGGGGCTGCCTTTGGAGACCACCAAGAAATACCAGCTGATTCAAAATGTCAGATTGTTAAATAGGAGCATGCAGCAATGAATACATTACATCCTATTTTGCAGGACTCAGAATGTGACTCTTGGAATGTGTCTAAGTGAAATTCAAATTTTTAACCTCTGAAGCACTAAATGGCCTGGGCAAGACCTGCCTTCTGCCCTGTAAACCTGTCCATTCACTTGTATCTACAGCAAAGGACCTTCAGTAGGGAGGCAGGTGGTGACTAGGGATTGGGTCCTCTGAGCCTCTGGAGCTCCATTTCACCAAGATACAGATTCAGACCCACCATTAGGAAGCCACCTCTGGTGATGGATGCTGTGGGCATGCAGTGGCAGTGAGGACAGTGTTAGGGCTGTCCCCTAAGTTAGCTGGTGGCTCTCAGATGCAGTGAAAAATGCTGTCCCATAAGTAGTGTTGAAGTGCACTGTGGTCTAAACCACTGAATCTAGGGCTTGCCGATCAGAAGATCAGCGGTTCGAATCCCTGCGATAGAGTGAGCTCCCATTGCTCGGTCCCAGCTTCGAAAGCATGTCAAAGTGCAAGTAGATAAATAGGTACCACTCTGGCGGGAAGGTAAACGGCGTTTCAGTACGCTGCTCTGGTTTGCCAGAAGTGGCTTAATCATGCTGGCCACATGACCCAGAAAAACTGTCTGCAGACAAACATCGGCTCCCTCAGCCAGTAAAGCGAAATGAGCATCGCAACCCCAGAGTCATCCGCGACTGGACTTAACTGTCAGGGGTCCTTTAACTTTACCTTTTTAAGATTCAACTTGTGTCAGGGGTCCTTTAACTTTACCTTTTTAAGATTCAACTTGGGGTGGGGGGAAGGGGTTATTGGTTTGTTCTTGCTATTATTAGGTATTTTGCTTGTTTTTTATCTTGTATTCTTATGTTGTGAACAGCCCTGAGATCTACAGATGAAGGGAGGTATACAAATTTTAATAATAATAATAATAATAATAATAATAATAATAATAATGTTATAACAGCAACAATGATGACTGGTAATCTGATTAACTTCTTTGCATGGAATGGGGAAGACTCTTGTCCTTTATGCCAGGAACAAAATACCTTAGGTCTACTCTGCCTCATGACTTCATCTGGATACCAGACCAATGTATATTTGCATGTTTCTGGTTCAACTAGTCTGATTTATTTGTTTTGTTAATGACTGCTCTGCTGCTGCATTTCTCTGTGCTCTTTCCTAATTTTGATGTTGTATTGCACATTGCTTTCTTTGAAAACAACTTTGACCATCCTTTGGATAGCAAGAAATCAATATTTTGATAAACAAATACACTTGATTTAGTGGTGAGGATGACAAGAATCAAGCAACTGGATTCAGAGAGCCTAATGGTTATGCAAAACTGAAGCCCACCAAAATGATGTCATTTTGTCACCTCTCTTCACAATATCCAGTGGACTATTCTTGGACAAGCATGTTTGTCACTGGAGATGTGTGGGGCAGGCATAAATTGTTTCCTGCCCCATGATCTTTCCCACTCATTTGCTTTTTAAAAATCTCTAAAACAATTTGCACATTCATAGGTATGTGTTTACTTATTTCAAGTGCTTCCAAGCTACATTTCAGGGCATAGAACATAAAACTAAACAATGAAAACAATGAAAAGCATTTTAAAGGTTTAAAGCAGACATCAATTGGTAACCATCATGGAAGGAGGTATTCTTAATTGCCTAATAGGCCTGGCAGAATAGAATGGTTTTTAAAAGCTGGCATAGAAGGCATTTGATGATGCTGGTTATTTGGATTCTTTCCAATCTGATTTACAATCCGGTTTGGAGACATACAGTGAATAAAGTGCAGGGGTGAAGAACTTACGCAGCAGACCTATAAGGCCTGCCAGCCTTTCTCATTTTGACAGCCAGGCTGTTTGGCCAAGCTATGCCCACCTGTCCTACACCTCCTGTTATATATAAATATTATTAAGTAAGTAAGTAAGTAAGTAAGTAAATGAGACACTAGTGGGAAAAGACCCAAAATTAAAGGGTCCAAGTCCCCCCCCATCCCCAATAGTGTGAAGCTACTGTCTTCTTCTGGGCATCGGGGACTATACTGTCCCTCAAAGAGCTTTACCTACTGCCGAGGTCCAGATTGAAATCCCCACCAGCCGGCCAATTTCAGTAACCAGGAAGGGCAAGGATCCAGTGCATAAGTGGTAGGCCTTAGGCTTCCAATCAAGAAGTCGACCTCCTCAGGCTGCATAATCTAAAAGCAATAACATGGCCAGATGGCATCCTGGATGCCTTGGACTTTGACTTTGCGATAATTATGGCATCCAAGTTGCAAATTGGTCACAGCCAGCCTCTGAGGTTTCTGCAAGTCGATGCCCTGGACCCACGTGAAGGAGGTTTCCTTGCTATGTAAAACAGCTCCACTGCAGATGCAATGGTGGCAAAAAAAGGTAATGTAGTGATCACACCTCCTTTCAAACTAGCCTGTTCTCTATAACTTCTTGATTAGTAAATTTGGATGCCTTTGTCAAAATATTCCTCTCCCTAAAAAAATAATCCTTAAAAAGGATAGGCAAATAAAAAGGTGATTGGCTGGGTGTTGAGACAGTGGGTAGAAAAAAGGGAGATTGGGAATTATATGTGACAAATGTCTGACTTGTGGGAGTTCTGTTGCCACAGAAGCTGGACCATAAATCAGTTATCTTTCTTAAACACTCAATTATTGTCTTGCATGAATTCCCAGATTTGGGGAATGTAGGCAGCTCAGCTGTACATTAGAAACCCCTGAAATAGAGGTTTTGCAATGCACAGCTAGATAATTACTGGACGTGCAGACAAGCCCATGTTATATGCCTAAGATGGAGAGTGGGACAACATAAAACACCTTCCAGTCATGAGGTTTCTACTTGTATGCAGCAAATACGGGTGGAATGAATAACTTGGAAAGACTCCCAGGCATCTTCTAAAAGAGGAGGGTTCAAAAAAGAAGACTGCATTCTCACCATAATCCCCGTGTTCCCATTGTTATCATCTAAACTTTTTTGGTAGCTCTGCAAGTCTGTCTCTTTCCAGCCAAGCCAGTTTCCTGTGCTATGAGATCACAGCTCTGTCTTTGTGATATTGCTGTCTGTTGCCATAGTGCTTTTCTTCTTCTTTTTGCTTCCACAAAGTCAGCTTTGGGATAACTTGACTACCAAGGTCACTGAGGAGCAGATGAAGACAGACCTTCTTCTTCAAACACAAATATCAATGTTAATATATTAGCCAACATGGCAGGAGCGCTTGTGAACAGCATGTCAATGGCAAAGGACACTTTGGTTGCTTCTCCTGGAGGGATTCCCTTCTGAGAGGAGAATTATGAAAATCTTCTAGGTTGGTTTTGGATGGCTGTTCTTGGATGTTTCCCTCCCTTAATGGGATGTCTTTGCCTTTTCAGTCTTCAGTATCTCTGCAAAATCTCCAGACAGGGACAGCCCATCCCATTTCACCTGAGGCAAAATAGTAAGTCCTCGGCTTCTGCTGCCCCCCCCCAAAAAACCCTTGCTTACCAGGGTTGTGCAGCAATGGTGGCCTCTGGCAAGATCTCATGAGATGCTATGGAACTCTCACAGGAGCTCCAGGATATCTCACACGATCTTACCAGAAGCTGCTGCTGAACAATCCCAGTGGTGGCAGGGGTGGGCAAGGCACTGCTGTCCAAGGTAGCTGCTTCAGTCCACTTCATAGGCCCTGTCTCTAGAAAGATCTTTGTGGCACTGAAGGTAAAAAGTACTTTAAAAATACAGGCCTGGAACAATCCCAGTGTCTTGACTGTCCCAAACCAGTAACAAACACTCTTGCTTACAATTAAATCAGTGAACATTTATTATAACTATCTAATAGTACAAACTCAGTGGCTAGGAAATAGCAAGATCTAGTCCAGGTGCTCTTACAACACAAATGAGTAAGAAGTATAAGTCCTCTTCAGGAGCAAGGGCCAGGGTTTAGGACAGGCATAGGCAAACTCGGCCCTCCAGATGTTTTGGGACTACAACTCCCATCATCCCTAGCTAACAGGACCAGTGGTCAGGGATGATGGGAGTTGTAGTCCCAAAACATCTGGTGGGCCGAGGTTTTCATAATCATATAATAAGAAAAATGCTTAAAAAATTTGGAATAAATATAAAGACTTTCTAGAACCAAAAACCTCATGGTGGCTCTCGCTGGTGGAAGCATTAGCATTAAAACCACTTAGTAAGGGAAGAAATTGGCCAACATATAGAAAATTATTAATAGAGGCGGAAAAAGGGTTAAGGCTGAAAGGATATGAGGAATTGAAGACTTTTTTACAAAGCTGGTTACATCATAGACAATTAAATGAACAGTTTAAGGAAGACAATAAGAAAGGTTTTAGTTATAAAGTTTCAAACTTTCAAAAAGAGATAGTTGAGAGTGACACAAAATTACTTTAAAAAACGTACAATCTCCTACTTTATGGGGAAACGTTAGATGAAATGGTAAAGTCAGAACAAATAAAGTGGGCTCAGGATTTAGGTCATAATATACAATTTGAAGATTGGGAAAAGATGTGGAAGGTGAATCTAAAATTTACAGATTGTATCTTATTGAAAGAGAACTACATGAAAATGGTATATAACACCAGGGAAAGTGGTCAAAATGTATAAAAAGGGATCAAAAACTTGTTGGAAATGTAAAGATGGGACATTCTATCATATGTGGTGGGAATGCAAAAAGATTATATATTATTGGGAAATGATACATAATGAATTGAAAAAAAAAATGTTTAAAAAGACTTTTGTTAAGAAACCAGAAGCATTCCTTCTAGGAATTTTAAACCAAGATGTAAAAAAAGAAAATTGGAAATTATTTCTGTATGCAACAACAGTGACAAGAATTATATTAGCACAAACTTGGAAGACAGAAGAAATACCAACGAAAGAACAATGGCAAGGGAAACTTATGGAATATGCAGAACTGGCAAAACTAACAGAAAAATTACATGAAATAGACAACAAAGACTTTAAAAGAGAATGGGAACCATTTACAACATATATGAAGAGGCAACATAAAGAAATGGGCTCATTGGCAGGGTTTGAGTAAACAATCACAACTGTATACATCAAAAAAATAAGACTATATGTATTGGGAAAATTTGGGGGAAACAATCCGCAGGGTGAACAATATGGAAATAAAACAAAATGGGAGTATGAGGGAAGTCCAGGGGAGGAGGGTCGAAATATGAAAAATTGTTAGAGATATATTGTTAGAAGAAGTATATATGGAAAAAGCAATAAAAAAATATTTTTTTAAAAAAGAGTTGCAGCACTGCATAGGAGCTGTGAAGTCACTCCAGTGTGTTTTCCCACCTATCTGTCAAGCATTTAGGCAGCAACCAAGAATCCCCAGCTACTCACAATAATCCCTGCCCCTGTGGGAATTCTTGTCCTGCAGGTGGATGTTCTGCCTAAGGAGTCAAGTCTCCTCTTTCTGCTTGATATGTCACCTCTCTCTGGGAGACAGAGACAGACCCACCTCCAACTGTCAGAGCAGATCATGCCCCTGAGACCCCCTCATTCTTCATGCACAGGGAAGGAGTAATCCTTGGGTCTCCCATGTCATCAGTAGGTCCAGGTACAAAGGGCTTTATCAAGAGCACTCTGCTGTGTAGTCTCATCCCCACCTTCTTTCCAGTCTGAGTGCCTTTTCTCAAGTGCTTCCCTCACCTGGTCTGATAAGAGTGCACAGAGGGAACCATGACACCCAACTCCCTGTTCACTTTAAGAGCTGGATTTTGGTGCATAGAGATTTGAATTTTTTTTGCCAAGCATTGAAAAACAATTGTACCTGGAATGAAGTAAAGCAGTGACCTTGGCACTCACCACTCTGTTTCTTATGAACATCACTGGAAGAAACCCCCCTCCTCTAGCCTGTGTAAGAGAATTATGAACCTGATTGCCCATCATCATTCTGGAACATGAGATGGAATTGTAAAATGACCTTGCAAGATGCACCTATATAATAGGTAGCCAATGTAATGCCCTCCAGATGTTGTTGAACTCCTAACACCCATTATACTTGACCATTGGTCATGCCAGCAGTTGGAGTCCAACATTGACCATCCCTAGCTACCTACGATCTAACTGGCTCTCCTCTCCCATTTTGGGGGTGGGGGTGAGAGGTTCCCTACACTCTTGACAGATGGCTGCTGCTGCTCTCCAAGCAGACTGCCAGGCTTGGGCAAAATACTCTCTTTATTGTTCCCTTCTTTGTCAATGCACCCTGGTAGATTTACCTGGTGACAGCAGACAACAGCAGTGGTGGTCTGAGCAATGCTGGAAGACTGGATGCAGGCACAATTTTAATATTAAAGGAGGCTCCAAGGTAGACTTTCACAATATGCCCTGCCAAGATAAAGAGTCTCTAGCATCTGCCCAAGGATACCAGGTGTTGAGCCCTACCGCCAGGTGTCTTTTCATTGAGGTGGGCAGGAACTACTTTGCTCTTTACTAGAACCCAAAGTCATGCCAAACAGAGCCAGGTGGAAAATTGTGGCATATGCAATTTGGTTGGCTCAGGGGAATAAGTTAATTACTTACTGCCTATTGTCTATACTGCCTATACTGACAGTGTCTCTCCAGGGTTCCAGCCAGTAGTCTTTCCCACTCCTACCTGGAGATGCCTGTATGCAAAGCAGATGCTCTACCTTTCCCATAGGGCCTCTGCTTGTGGCTGGGAAGAAACAAATTGCAAACTGTTAGTTTTCACCTTGCTTGACAATTCTATCTTGCCACTTTTCAGGTAGTAGTGTTGGGTTTGATGCTAGAATCAGCATGAAAAAAGAGCCACTGCTTTTCTGTAGGGTTTGCTTCACCAGGTACTTTTATTTTGAATGGAGTCCCATGGTTCATGTGTCATGATAAGGTGTACTTAGCAGCAGTTCCTTTTTATCAGCATTGTTAATGTGTGGCCCTGGGGTAGTTGCTGCAGCTTCCTATCAGATAATTATTCACTAAATCATTCAACCAGCCACTAGGTATAGAGCAACAACAATGTTTCTGCACCATAATATCATCTTCCATTTATAATGCTCTCTTTATCTCAACGGATTCTAAACCATTCACCAATCCTATACATGATAAAGGCTTGGTTACCCCCGCAGGTAAAAGGAAGCCTGTTCCAGCAGCAGCTGAAATTCAGCCGTCCTAATAGTGGAGAGCTGAGAATTGTTATAGCAGGGATTCTTAATCCTTTCTTACACCCCACAGTTGTAAGAAAGCAGCCCATAGACGCAGGTGCTAAGGTCTGAGCTGATGTTTAATTCTGAATAGACCTTGGAACTTCCCAAATATCAGATCCACTCCTCTAAATCCCAGATGTAGGTACAAGCTGCAGTTGTCTAATTGTCAGAGAAAGGCATATGCTTAGAGACTGTAGAAGGAATCTGAAGAGCTGCTTCAGCTTAAGCAAAGCATTTTGCAACAGTCTACAGAAAAACATTTCACTTTTCTTTGGTTTGATCCATCAGGGCTCTTTTGTTCAAAGGTCCATCAAGTCCTTCATCTTGTTTCCTACAGTTTCCAAACAGAGGTTCTTGGGGAGGCTCACTGGTAGAATGTGAAAGTATTCATTCTCCACAGATGTTGGCATTAGCAGGTGTTATTCACTTGTATACTGCCTCTGACTCTGGAAGTTCTGTTGATCAAGTCTTGACCTGAGGATCTCTCCTCAGGTCAGATTGGGATCCAGCCTTGTCAGTTGTATCTGTGATCCTTAAATCTCATGATTCGTTATAGCTAAGCTGAGGAGTGGTGAGACAAATAAATCCTGAGTTGCGATCACTGCTATGATTTCTTTTCCCTATGATTTCTTTTCCAGGTCTTTCCCAAGAAGTGGCAAATTATAAATCCCATCAGGAATGAGATGGATAACCATGTATTTGTTTTCCTCGTCAAGGTGAGACGGTCCACATCCATGCCACATTTCACAGAGGCTTTAGAAACAGCAGAGGCATGCCAATGAAGACAGATGTATGCCAACGGGGGGGGGGGGGGAGGTCAGTTCTCTCACAGGCTCCCATTTTCCTTCACTGCAAAATGCCATTCCTGACATTAAAAAAGGGCAATGCAAAGTAAGTAGTGGAAGAGAGACTTTAACCTTTGCCATCTGAAAAGGTCACCCATCTTCTCATTCTCCCCATTCATCTCCCCTCCTCACTCAGTGCTGTACACTCTTTCACTCGCTCGCCCTCACAGAGGTACACAAGCACTTTTCTGCTTTCTGAAGTTAAAAACTGCAGCCCCATCAGCTTTATGGTTATCTGAAAACTCAACTTGGCTACCCAATTATCACAGGAACTGGGGTGAGCTCAACCTTCCAGTGTCATTAATTTGTGTCTATTGTGAGGGAGAGAGGGAGACAGAGGGAGTGAAGGGAAAGGAGAGAGAGGCTGAATAAAAAGCATCATCAGTCTTCTTCAGCAGATGAAGCTCCAGTGCTTCTTTTGTTCCATTATAACTTTACACCCTCAGCTTCTCTCTCTCTCTCTCTCTCTCTCTCTCTCTCTCTCTCTCCTGCTGTGATCCACTGGAAATCACCTCTTCTGTTAATTTCTCCTCTTGCAACCTCCTCCTGCTCTGAAATCATATTCAAGTCAGAAGCTGAGCAGCACACAATGTCACCCCCTCTCCACCTGAATTATCATGGGGATGAATAGAGGGGATGTTCCCTTCATAGCTATGGGCATGAATCAATGCAAATGTATCCACTCCCTACAAATGCCTTGAAATGTATAAAAAGGGAGTATTTCTTCCAACCAGTTCAACATACAATGATACTCAGTATCAGAAGAACTCTAGCTTTGAAGTTCAGGGACTGAGACTTGGACTAACCTAGCAAGATTCCTGAGAACATGAGTGCTTAGGCCTCACATTCATCCCCTGATGCAGAAGCAATAAGGCAGTGCAACATTAGCCCCTGCCATAGACAGACAATGATGATGACTCTGGGTTAGTCTGGTACAGTATAGATACCAAGAGCCTGCTTGTCTATGTTTGTCACATATATATCAATAATGGCTGCCAACACTTGGAATAAAACAGAGGCCT